TTAATTCTCTTTAGCTCACCCATCTTTGGAGCCTTAAGCAGGGAACCTAAAGAAGTAACGTGCAACTGAGGAGGGAATAAATAATTGCAGATGGTATTTATCCTAATTCCAGGGGACATAAAGAAGAAGTTGCAAGATATGTCAGCACTTTGTTGATTGGGGAGAGGACATTATGGGTCAGCTTCCTGGTATGTTGGGTTCTGATACCTCGACTTGAACTAATGAATGAAAACTAAGGAAAGGAATTGTACCAATGACATTGATTTTTCTGTAACCAGGATGAAGCTTTACTCCTTATCAGTTTAAAATATAAATGCTTCACTATTAGTGCAGGCAAGGAACAAGCAACTTATAATGCTTGTTTTGGCACAAAACTACCACTGTGATAATAATTTCCTAAAACAATCCCCCTTGGAGACCTTAAAATAATTCCTACAGTATAGAAGGAATTTGGCTTTATCTTGTGTAATACATTAATTATACAAGACTTTGTCAATCTGACTCATTGGTAAAAACGATCAAATGGCACTGCCTAAATCTTGTAATTTTTTAGAATCTTGTTTTACTACCATGAATGTGCAAATAATGTGTCTTTCCCATTTTACCCCACTCTCTCAAGATAATTATGTCACTTTCTCTGGACTCCTCAAGCCTCCCAGACAGCCTCACTCTACACTGAGCTTTGAACTTACTTCCTACCTCACTGAAAAATCAGAAGCATTCATTAAGGAATGCTTTTTATCCCCCTTGCACCAAATTGGCAAACTAGCTACATCTAAATCGTCCTTTTTCTGCGGAGAATGTCTCGTCTCTTCCAAGGCAGTCATGGGCGCCTTTTTCATCTTCTGCAAAATTCAACCATTATCTCTACTGCACTATCGATTTCTCCTTGTGTTTGCCAATCATTCCCATTTGCATAAGAACTCACTGCAGTATCCATCTTCCAACTCCCCCCTTGACTGCTCATAGGTCACCAGAATTTCTGGGAAAAGTTGGCATCTACTCTCTTCATTGCTCAAATATCACTTACTTTCCAGTCTATCCCAGTCTGACCTCCATCCCCACTCCTCTACAAAACCTGCTACAGTCTGGGCCACCAGTAGCCCCATATGCCGAAACCAAGGGACACTCCTCAGTCTTTCTTCAACAATGTTGGTCACATCTTCCTTCCTGAACCACTTTCTTCTGTTTATCCTTTTAACACCATCCTGGTCCCTCCTCCCTCTGACTGCTGCTTTTCGTTCTCCAACCTGGAACAGCACAGGCAGCAGTGTCTAGAGTGCTCTGATCATTCTAGCTGCATTTGCCTAGATGATCTCCTCTGGACCCAGGTTGTAAAATGTTCCTTCAGCTCCTGATTCTAAATTCATATCTCTAGCCCTGACTTTCCTGAGCGCCTAGTTGCTGCTACCTTTTGATATATATAATAGGAATGTCAATTTTAATATAACCAGAACACCATCCGTCCAGTTGTTCAAACCTAAAACATGGGGGTCATCTATAACACCGTCCCTTTGATCAGTCCTCAAATTCAATCCAAAATATGTTGTGGGCGTGTCCACTTTTCTCCATCCTCAGGGCACAGATCTTCTAAGCCAATCACTTGGTGCCCTTATTTGCTCTCTCCCCCAAAACAGACTAACTTTTTTGAAACAGAAGCAATGTAGAGTTACTCTCCTCCTTCAATAACTCTTCTTTCAGAATAAAATCAAAATTTCTTACTCTCACCTACGAAGCCCTCCAAGATCTGGCATACCTACCTCTGCACCTTATCAGACTGCTCCCTCCTGCACTTCCCTCTGAACACCATCCTCCTTTCTCCCCACCCACTATTGTCGATCTGTTTCCTGTCTTCAAGCCTTGGAAAAGTCTAGCTCTTAGCTTGGCTGATTCTTCTCCAGCTGTGCAGTGCCAGCTCAAAAGTCACCTGGTAGAGGCCTTGGGCTGCATCTGAAACAGTTATCAAATATTATAATACGTTGCTTTACCACTACAATTTCATTTCCTGAAAATCAACCTCTTCTTTTTTTCTGTTCTCTATCCCATCACCTGGAATATTCCTTGCAAAACAGATATTTAGTTCAATGGATGAAAGAATATGGTCAGCAAAAAGGTTAGAAATAAATCAAAAAGCATTTTAATCTATTATGACTTTGAATTTGGACAGTCAGGTACCTGTAATTTTGATTTGAGTCTTTAATTCCCTTAAATGGAAGATATTTTCTATAGTATAGCTTTATCACTTGAAAAATGGGCAAAATGCACTTGTTCATTATATTGTTAAGTTATGTACTATAAATAAAATAATGCTTTGAAGAAAAAAATTCCAAAAAGAAATCCTTTTGTGGACTTTGAGGTTGGGTAAGATTTAAGTTCTCCCCACCCCCACTTTTTTTTTTTTAACTGGGAAATGAACCCAGGGCCTCTTAACTGCCAAGCCATATCCCCAACCCTATTTATTGAGACAGGGTCTCACTAAGTTGTTTAAGGCCTTACCAAAATTGCTCAGGCTGTCCTTAAATTTGTGATCCTCATTCCTCAGCTTCCCTAGTCACTAGGATTCTAATTCCCCTTTTGACTCAGCTTACATGCCATGTATTTAGAGTCATGACCCAAGGAAATCAGGGAAGCAGAAAATTACAAACTGTCTGCTTAGAATGAGCAAGAGGACTCAAGAGGATCCCATAAGGGCTTCTGACTTATGCCTTTGCTCTTGGCCTCTTTACATCCCTCTGACAGCTCCGGCTTCTTCAGCTCAGCACTGTACATTGCAGAAGGAGCATCACTGAGCATAGAGGGGCTGCACAGTGAAAAGGGAGGTCAGCCCCTTGAATGCTACTTGCCTTGCAGAGCCTCTGGTATACATGAGACCAATGAGCTCATGAAACCCACAGAAACTGGCGGGCTTCTTCCATGGCCAAGAATCTGCTCAGACTGCAGCAACATGCTGCTACCCTCTGTCCTCTGCTTGCCATGCTAAAAGCAGCCCTTCTCTAACTGGCCCTCATCAATTCTGGAAGTTTCTCAGGGCTTCTTCAATTCAGAAACCTAGAGGAAGTCACCAGTGGGGGTGCTTGTCATAGATATGTAGATGCTAATCCCATCAATAGCAGCCAGATGAGCCATCTTCTGAACACGTGAATGGTTGGTTACCTTGTTGAACCAGGGGTACGATGATGGGAACCACAAGGATGTGACGGCACAAGTTCTAGTAGACGGAAACTAAGCTACATCTATCAGTTCAGGGAAGGGGTCACCACTGCTGTTTGTTGGTCAAGGGAGGCTTACTGTTAGGATAACCCATTTCCAAACCTCAGCACCTCAACACAAAAAGGATTTGTTTATTTTTCATGCCTCAATCCAATCAGATCAGTAGGGGTAGTAAGGGAGGTGAGGTGTCTCTGCCCCCACACAGCCCTCCAGGGACCCATGCTCCTTCCTCCTAGTGCAGGGGCTCTTAACCTGAAGTCACAGGTGCTCACAGGGTGTGTAGAATTTGTGGGCAGGGTCTAGGATTTGGACAAGGAGGAAAGCTTATCCTTCTTTTTCCTATAAACACAATTTAACATTTCCTGCAGTTCTACAGTTGTGATTGAAGGCATCAAGCCATAATATTAGCGCCACCTGTGACTTTAATACCAATAGAAATCATAGATATTCCATATCACATTATAATTTTAGTAGATATGTGAAATACTGTTTATGCCTAACACTACTCTGAAATCATAGTTATTATTAGACCTACTTCAAGATCTTGTTATTTAATCAGTGAATTAGTGCATATATTATCACAAAATATTTTAAACATTTTTTATAACTGTACAACAATATACTTGCTTTTCTTTTTAATTCTATGTATTTTATTTTTAAATGTTAAAAAGATTATTCTGAGAAGAAGTCCATAGTTGCACCAGACAGCTCATGGTAGGCAGAAGATGAAGAACTCCTGATCAATGATTCTGCTGTCCCCAAAATCCTTGTGTGTCCTCTGCATCTGGTCAGTGGAATGGGTTGGGGGGTGATACTGGGAATTACTTTAGGTTTGAGGCTTAGAAAGAATGTGTCACCCTTTCCACATTGTATCAACATAGTTCAGTCACCAGATCCCTCTTGGCTACAAGGGAGGATGGGAAATGAGGTCTGGCTATGTGGCTGGGAAGAAAACATACTGGGACTTGGTGAGCATATGAAAATGACTCTCACCTTGTCCATGGGAACAGTATGCAAACAGATAGCACCCCAATGAGAAGAGGCTCCCTGTAGAAATTCATTCCCTATCAAATTCATTCCAGGAGGCATACCATCATACTAGAATAGCTGCTGTTCATTAATGATTACTCCTGTTGGTATTCTGCTGATAGGTTATTATGAGAATTACATGAGGTCATGGAAATCAATGAGATAAGTATTATTGTTATTTATTTCTTATAAATAAAAACACTGTGGACTTGAGAAATCTAAAATGGCGTCCTTATCACTGTGCTGCACTATTTTTTGGAAAAACACTAAGACTCTCACTGAAGAACATGGAATTTCTTACTGATGGGTAGGATGGACTGTAGAGTCAGACTTTCTGGATTCATACTCTTTGCCATTACCTAGATCATTGACTGGGCACTTTTACTAAAGCTCTATATGCATCTGTAGAACAGATTAATTTTAGCATCCCCATTTTAGGATTAGCTGATATCAACACTTAGAACAGCTCCTGGCACCTACACTGGTATGTGAGCCACTGTTATTGCTTAATGCCACTGTGACCATCTATGTGAATATAATCTGAAATACTAGAGAAGGACTTGGTTCTCATGAAGAATTTGGGAAATATCTGAGGTCACCAAGATCCTCACCAGCCCAGGAAGGTCCTACAATGGGTACTGCTGAGGTACAATCAAGAATTGTTAGCTTTCTAAAGAAGTAGGGGGCAGTGTTGGATGATAGAAAGTGAACATCAGTGAGTGAGTTTTCATTTTAATGTTAGCTTTCTCTGCCCTTCCTAGAACTCAATGAAGGTGATGTTCAAATGCCTCTGGAAGAACTGTGGCAAGGTGCTGAGCACTGCGGCAGGCATCCAAAAACACATCCGGACCATTCATCTCGGGTAAGGCAGCCCTCCCTTCATACCTGAGGTAGACTCTGTTGATTCAGGGTAGGCCACTTGCACCCAGAGACTGCATGACACAGTGCCTCAGGAGTTCTGGACATGGGGCCAGCTGGCTCTTCCTTATCTCTAGAGAGCTGGCAAGTTCCAAGAATAGGCCAGGATGTCCCAGGACAGAGAACAGGGATTTAATGTAAGACCTGATTGACTCAGTCACATTAGGCAGGTCTCTGCTCTGAACCCCAGTTCCCCCTGAAAATGACTAGTTCTGCGCCATCATATAGGAAGGTAATAGATCAAACGTGTATGAGAAACACTTATAAAGTATACAATACCAGAATAAGGGTTTCCTAAACTGGGGTCTATGGTTGTGTTTCAAGGGGTTTCTTGACCCCCCTAAAATTATCTGTAATATGAAATGTGCAATTATTTTTTGCAGTGGAGAATATTCATAACTTTGAGTCTCAAAATCCTATATTGCCTATAAAAGGTTTTAAGAACCACCACCTAGTCAAGTCTACTGCTGCGCTTCTTACAATGCCTGATGGTATGGCTCAATCTTTCTGTGGCTCAAATTTGTGCTTTATTTATAAAATTCATACTTTTCCTTGTGTTATATGACAACTCTCTTAAGGATAGATAAAATGAAGTTTGGGGCACCACAGTCTTTGAGCTTACAGCAGGAGCACAGTGGTGTTTGGCAGTCTCCAGCTTTTGTCCTGTGGCCATCTGTGACTGACTTAGCAGGGACCCTGAGAAGCTGTACATTACAACCAATGTGCATAAGACAGATACAAGCACCCAACAAAGCCTTCATGTTTAGATACAGAGGAATCCTTTTGTCAAGATGGGTGTGGAGAAATAAGTGCAATGGTCATTTGCCTGGGTGAGGGATAAATTTAGGAAATACATCATCCATAAAATGTAGTGTAAGCAGAGGGGAGAAAAAGGAATTTTGCTAATCTGTGAGGGTCAGCTCCATGAGTCACTGTGGAGAGAGCAGGTATTTGGCTCCCTAACTCTACAGGGTGATGTATGGGAATACACCAGATTGGGGTGGCCCCCAGAGGTCACCAAGCACTGTGTGTCTGGCGCAGTGTGGCTTGGGCTTTTGCTCCCTGGCCATGGTATGCCTGTATGTGAAGTAGTGCTGCATTAAAATATAGCTGTGCGTATCACCCCCCCCTTCAAGACAATTCATAACATAACAAGAGTTATTTAAAGGTTTAGAAAGAACTTCCTGAAGCAATAGCCAAGAACTGTTAGCTTTCTAAAGAAGTGGGGGGAGTGTTGGAAGATAGATGCTGGGTGTTTGTCTTAAAGTTCATTCATCTGCCCAGAAAATTGAATCCTTTTCAGCCCCACTTAGAAGCGCACACACTATATATATATATTTATAGACCATGAGTGGTATCACAAAATTTTCCTGTGCACTCCCAGGGTACACTCACAGTGTGTGGAATTCAAAATGCAGCCACTTTATTTGCTTCCCTAGGTATCCCCTTTTTACTGATGGTGCTCTTAGAATTGCTCAGTGAACTGTGAACCCTGCCAGCCACCCCCCCCCAGGAAAGGTCCTTGTAGGACTCTAAGGCCAACCTATGTTTATGAAGCCCTGCGTCTGAGTGCTCTCATGACCGGGAAAGACAACTGCCCTCACCTTAATCCATGAGCATCATTATGTGACTATGGGGACACAGCATTTTTAACAAGTACTAGCTGTGTGTAGGTGTGGGAGGAGAGCCTGTCAAAGCCCAGAGAAAACATGTCTTGCCTCTGATGTAGCTGCAGTGCACACCATGCCAGTATAAAAAGCGCACTGTTTTTCTCTTAAATCACACTCGGTTCTTGTATACTAAGGGCTGATTCTGATTTATCACCCTGGAGGACTCACGATCTCCCCCAGGTCTGTGTGTCTATTAGTAGCACTTGGCAGCGAGCAGCAGTGCAGCCTGCCTTTAACTGGAAAGGAAGTGGGACAGGAATAGAACAGATCCTCATTCTTCATCTCTCTCTCTGGGGTCTTCAGTGGTATGCTGGTCAGCAAGCCAAGCCCAAACAGACCTGATATGGCACAGAGAGCTCAGGGGAAATGGAACCAGACTGGGAGAAGCCACTGATTTGGCCAAACAGAAAGTCCTGGGGAGGGCAGTTTATTTTAGGTTCCAGTAGGGATCATTAGTGGAGAAACATGTTTGTTCTGAGTCAGTGATCTGCAGCTGCTGCGGACATGTCCATGAAATGAGGGGTGCCGTGGTCTCTCTCGGCCATCCCATAGAACCAGGTGCCAACAAGCCTAATAAATATGTTCTAAGCAAATAGTTATTTTTATTTTACTCAGAACTTTCTGTGGGAAAGTACAATTTTTCTTGACTCAGGAAGAACTTTGAAAGCACCTGGAAAGATACTTTCCTAGTGATACTGAAAATTGAAGCCTTTTAACATAGTCCTTATTTTTATTTAAAAGAAAAAACACATCAAATTTATTATGCATCAGGTACACTTGTGAGCACTTTGTTCATTTAATCCTCATGTCAAAGCAGGCATACTCATTATCCTCATTTTATAAGTGAAGAAACTGAGGCACGAGGACCATAGGTAAGCTTCCAAAATCAAACCCACTATTAGGAAGTGTCAATCAGGAACTGAGCCTGTGAAGCCCAACTCCAGAATCCATGGTCTCAGTCCCTACAACAACAACGTCAGCTAAATTCATTGTTCAGCATTTAACAGGTACCTGTTCACACCAAATGCACTGATGTGTATGTAGGGATAAAGGTCAACAGCAAGACATATCCCTAGAGAAGAACAATCAGAGTGAGATCGCAGGTCAGAAAAAAACTACAGGGCTGCAAGTGTAGCTCAGTGGCAGTGCACTTGCCAGTCAGGCAAAAGGCCCTGGGTTCCATCCCAGCACTACAAAATAATATGATAATTACAGAAATACAGCAAGTGGTGAACTCAAGGGATGAACACACTTTACAGGGAGCACAGAGAACTAAGAGGAGTTAAGTCCTGATGCCTCACTTTCAAAACACATCCAGACTTTGACTTCCCATCGTTTGGAGCACTGTCAGCCTGGCCCCGCCACTGCCAGTGTTCATCTGATGGCAACAGCCTTGCACAGCCTTTCACTCCTGTCCTTGCCCTCCTGTCCTCTAGTCAATAGCCAAAGTGACCCTTTTTTAAAAAAAAAAAAATGCTTTTAATTTCTCAAAGTCCCCATTGGCTTCTATCACATCCAGAATAAGTGCTAAAGCCATCACTGTGGGCAGTGAAACGCCACTGGTCGTCCGTGCTGCCATGCCTTGAGCTCCAGACACTAGCCCCTCTCTACTCCTTGGAAAGCACCAGACTCACCAGGGAGCCTCATGTAACTCTTCCCCCCAGTCCTTCCCATAGGCCCACATGGTCTCTCCCTCACTTCATTCAGGCAAGTGTTTGCTTAAATGTCACCTTCTCAGAAAGGCTTCCCTTGAACACTCTAGGTAAGTATCGTGCCCCTTCCCAATCACTTACATTGCTCAAGGACACTCTTGTGCTGCTGAATTTTTCTTTCTGGGACTTACCAATATCTGATATATTAAACATCTGTCTCGTCTACTAGACAGTGAGTTCCAACAAGGCAGTGTCTATGTTTTATTCACTATAGTATAAGGAGGCTCTAGAACAGTGTGGATAAACTAGATTGATTGATTTATAAATTACTGTCATAAGATTGAACTAATGAATAATTGAATGGATTTCTTTATCTTAGTCCATTTTCTGTTGCTGTAACAAAATTCCCAAGACCAGGTAATTTGTAAGAAATAGAAGTTAATTTGGCTCATGGTTCTGGAGGCTGAAAGTCCAAGACCATGGTACTAACATCTGCTCAGCATCTGATAAGGACCTTCTTGCTGCATCATAGCATGGCGGAGGACATGATGTGGGAGACAGAGCATGCTGCTAGCTTGAGTCTCTCTTCCTCTTCCTATAAAGCCAGTAAAGTCATCATGATGGCCCCACCCTGTGGCCTCATCTATCCTAACTACCTCCCAGAGGCCCCATTTTAAAACACCATTAATATAGATAGTCCCCACCATTTTAACATATGGGGACTAAGTTGTTTCTGACACATGAACTTTGGTGGACATGTTCAGATGAAAGCAGATGTCAAGAAAGACCTCCCTAGAATTGGATATTTAAGTATTGCAGCATAAGCAAGAGATTGCGAGGCAGACGAGAGAAAAGAAAAGCATCCAAGACGGAGGACTAATGTGAGATTTCAAGGCTGAGCACATCTGTTTGCTCTCTTCTGCTTTAGGCGTGTTGGAGACTCTGACTACAGTGATGGAGAGGAGGACTTCTACTACACGGAGATCAAGCTCAACACAGACTCAGTGGCAGATGGACTGAGCAGCCTGGCCCCAGTTTCACCCTCTCAGTCCCTGGCTTCCCCTCCTACGTTCCCCATCCCAGATTCCAGCAGAACAGAAACTCCTTGTGCCAAAACCGACACCAAACTGATGACACCATTGAGCCGCTCAGCTCCCACCACCCTCTACCTCGTGCACACCGACCACGCTTACCAGGTGACTGGCACGGGACTGGGAGAGTGATCATTCTGACACTGACCAAAAGCAGTAGCCATCTGACCTGTAAATAGATACCTCAGTGGAAAACAGCTCATATACTGCAGCTCGGTAGCCAAGTTTACTTTTCTTCTCCTCTTAAAGCCAACATCTCACATAAATGGATGATTATTCTTGGATTCCCAGTGCTGGCTGAAGGTTCCTTCCCTTAATGATTGCTATGAGGATTAAAATCTTTAATATTGTAAAGCCCTCAGAATGATGCCTGAGACATCATATAAGTATCTGTTAAATAAAAAAAAATAAGTAAAAAGCTAAGCCTTGGAAAGATTTGGTACAATGATAGAACCACTCCAAATCTGGGACCTCATTTATACCCTGCCTATTAAATGGGTAACTAATTCTCAGACTAAAGTAGTAGTTTACAGTATCCCCCAGGTCAATGTGCCAGTATCACCTGGGAACTGGTTAGGAAGGGAAATTCTTGGGAATCCCCCAGACCTATAGGATCAGAGCAAGGGACAGACCCTCCAGCAGATGCTGATTCACACTAAAGTCTGACAAGTCCTTAGAGATAGATCCTGTAAATGCAGGGCCTGGTTAAAACTCCTTCCCACCCCCAAGGTTCTCAACTACCTTATGTAACCCTTAAAAATCTCCTCTATGTACTTGTAATGGTGTTCTTCCAGCCCTGTTTTATAGAAACTTTCCATATAACTGAGTAGTTTCCCCTCAAATTGAAACACCAGATTGTTTGAATCTTTCTCTGATCCTTAGCTATCTACTTTTTGGTCTGTCCAATTTTTTCACTATCATTTATAACTCCACTATGAACCTCTCTGCCTGACTTAAATTCTCAGAAGAGAAATTATGGAGTTATCTAGAACATGAATGAACAGTTTCTGAACCTGGCTGTGTGTTGCTGAAATATTTTCCATGGTCCCAGATAAAAAACCACCATTACTAGTCAATGTATTTGTAATAAGAAAAACTAAGCCTACAGAGGAAGAATTCAGCCACTTATTTAGCAGTGTTAAACTCAAGAGCAATGGGATAGAGCGCTGATTAAACTACTTGGTGCTATAAATTTAATTCCTGACTTTTGTTGGTCAAAAAGAATAATTCATTCATTTGTTTTTAATTTAATTTGCCCTCCAGAAATCATGGACTTGAAAAAATGAATTAAATCATTTTGCTCATCTATGTAATAAGAGAATTGGAACCCACACTAGGTGATCTAAAAGGTCCTTCCCAAAGGAAGTATTCATAATATTGGGACTTTTCTGTTTCTAGTCATTATAAATATTCAGCACTGAAAATTCTAATATCCCAGCCCCTCTAAAAAAAAAATTCATCCCTAATCCCAACAACCAGAGGTCCCCTTGGTTAATAGGTTTTGGTTTTTGGGTTTTTTTTTTTTTGTATGTCTTTTAAGATTTTGTTCTGTGTCTATGAATAGACACTTTTTTAAAAATGGACTCTATAGTAGCATGGTCTTTACTCTGGTTTATTTTTTTTCTATAAATGTGTTGTTAACATTTCCTATGCCAATCAGCCTTCTTCAACAACAGCATTTTTAATGACTCTTTGGGTATGTTATGATGTGTTTACCTGTATTCCTATTATTGAATATTCATGTTGTTTCAGGGTTTTTAATACACATAATACATAATTCTGCAAGGGGACATCCCTGTATCCATTTCTTTAGAATGAATTCTTAGAAGTATAATAACTAATTCATAGAATACTAAGAATTTTGATACATATTACTAAAGAACACTCCTAAAATATACCAATTTGCACACCATTTCCCAGTTTACTCAACAAGTTTATATTTCCAAATTTGATAGGACACCTATATACTACTATTCCCTATCATAAATATGTATATACATAATAAAATTTCTTCTTCAGAAATTGACAGCCAAAAAGAGTCTTGTTGGGCTGAGGATGTTGCTTAGTGGAAAAGTGCTTACCTAGTGTGCACAAAGCCCTGGGTTCAATTCCCAGCACCACAAAAACAAAACTTCTTCTTGATAGATTGCTTAGATATATATAAGAAAATCTATTTCTGGCTACTCCTTTGACCCCGTTTAATCTCTACCTATTAGATAATTATTCCAAGTTATTCATACAGCTGGACCATTCCTAAAGGCCCTACTTTGGTAAGGTAAGGAGAGCTTAAGGCTCCAAGGAAAAAAATCTTTCATAAGAACTTTCTCTGTTTCCTATTTAACAGGCCACACCCCCCGTGACTATTCCAGGATCAGCTAAGTTCACCCCTAACGGCAGCAGCTTCAGCATTTCTTGGCAATCTCCTCCAGTCACTTTCACAGGCATTCCAGTAAGTAGAAAAACAAAGAAGCCAGAAATCTGGGCAAAGCCAAATGTAAATTTAGAGGACAAATTGTAGAGATGTGCAAGTAAAAAACAAAAGCCAGAATGCCAAAAGTACTCTATTTCTTAATCAATATTTATAAATTCATCAGCAAGGTATCTTGTGGCTCAGCCAGATCCAACTTCTCTGCGAAAAGATGTTCCACTGGTGTTTTAGAAAACTTCTAGAAGAGTTTTTAACTGGTGACAACAACTTATTGGAAATACAGTTTTTTGAGTTGGTAGTATGTTTGTTTCCAAAAGACCATAAAATGAATAGCTGAACTCACCTTGTATGGAAAAGGTGACATTCGTCATTCTAAAGAGCTATAAAATTCAGTCCTATGAAATTATTGTTCTGTTGGTATCTCATTTGAAAGTTCAAAAGTAGATAAATTGAACTCTTCTCTTTTTTTCTTTCAAAGCCTGAATCATCCATGCTGATGGACAACTTGAAAATAAATGAGTACTAAAATGCAACCAGATTTAAGAAGTACATAAGAATTAACTTGACATATTAAATGATTTAGTCGGATAAATCACCATGAGTTAACTTGATTCCTAACCATTTATTTAGAAACATACTGGGTCTTATAGAGCTTATCACAAAATAGCCACAGACTTGTGCACGGCTGATGCTGGCGGTGGTGTGTAACTTCTGATAATGTTCAGAAAGTGGTTTATGATAACAGATGTTACCTTATTTTCTCTTCTGCACCCTTCCCCACAAGGACCTCACAAAAGCTTCTTATTGTCAACCGCTGGCAACTCCCAGAGGTTCCCAGTAAAGTCTAAAGCCTCCTGTGGAGCTGATAAAAAATGAAAGTGGCTGAATGAATTATGCTGTGCTCTGCCAATGAATATTTATTAAATCTCATAGAGCACTAGCCAACAATAAAAATCATCATGCTGGCAGCAATTTGGGGAATGGTGGCTTCCAGAAAACACTCCTGGAACGTGATTTTTAAACAATATCGTAGAACTGGAGTCGTTATGAAAGTTGCCTGTTTGATTGAACAGTGGTAACTGCAGGCAGCTCTGGAAGAGTGAGTAACCATGTTAGTAGACGTTAGAAGAGAACATTCAGATGTGCAGGTATTAGCTTTGCTTCTAGAAAAAAACATGGATCCACTGGTATAGATGTGAGAGATTAACAATCTGTCTTTTTGGGGACTTTTTCCTGGATAGACATATGGAGGCCCAGAGATCATCTTCCTATCTTGTCTGAGTCAGCCCTTCTGTGCTAACCTAGAATGGCAGCCCCAACTACAGACTTGCCATCTAATTTCAGCCTTGGAAGGAATTAGATGGCTTGGGAAGAACTTCAAGAGCACATACCATGTTGGTCATTTGATGTAAAAACTCTCCTAGTGTATAGGTGGAACAGCCCTGTTCAAACTCCTTTTCAGTTGACCCTGGTGACCAGCCAAACTGGGGTTACTTTCCCCCTTTGCTTTCTTAATCACACTGTCTCCTGAGCTCTGGAGAAGTCACTGAGTGGTTTCTTACTAGCTGCCTAGAAATGTCTTACACAGTAGGATGCCAGCCAGCAGGCCTTGTGGTGTTTGTTTTCCAACAATGAAATTGTAAAGCTCTGGCATGGACACTGTGTACATCTCCTACCCGAATCTCAACACAGAGGAGTTTTTGCAGAGTCCCTGGTTTCCCTGTGTTGGTTACCAGGGATATTATAGCAGAAAACTTAGACAGAAAGTATCTACGGTGGCTGAGTTAAGTAGGTATTTAACTAAACTTCTATGTCAGCTTCTAATTTATTCTTTCACCAGAGAATTCCCAGTCTGTCCGGTTGTGTAATCTGTCATAGCCATGAATGTAGACTCTTTTAGCAGTCAAGAGCTTGCCATTCCTACTTTACAAACGGGGGTATTTTCCTAGACTTTCATGTTACTCTACAAAGGCAACCCGACACTAAGAACATTCCCTGTGTTGCCAAATCCCCTATTAATACTATTTTGTTTTTTAAGAACAAATGGATACTTGCCATCCTATTCCTTCTGTGGGTGAGTAGCTTTCCTAACAGTCTGCATCACGTAGAAGCAGGACTGCTGCACACCCCTGTGGGTGCTGGTGGAGCTCTCTGACCTGCCCTGAAGTGCTTGTCCTAGGCCCTGGAGGTCAGGCAGACTCTAAGATGGAATTCCTCCCTCCTAAATTGGTAATAGTTTCAGACAGAAGAGCTTAAAGTTTTAGTGAATTAGTATTAATGTCTTCAGTTATGTCCAAACTGTAGAATAGAGTAGTTTCTATATTATAAAACACTTTTAAAACAAATGCCCCAAGGTTGTCAGCCTCATTTAGGTTTACTTTCCTCTCTCATTTTTGAGACTTGGTTTTGAAGAGAGATTTCAAACACTTTCTAGAGAATGGGGAAAATCTCCTTCTGAGAAATCCCAGGGTTTGTAGGATTTTACTTATTCATTTGTCTGTGCTAGATTTTCTTGAACATTAGGTTTTAATGAGTTCCCTAAGTAAGACCCCTTCCCCGAGGTGGGTATCCAAGAAGGCTGATCTGCATATTTACAAGCACTGTAGTTTCAGTCTTTTCTAGCCTAAGGCTGCTAGGAAGGGGAAGGGAAAGGAGATCCTCATTAATTACAGCTTTTTTTAACCTGTTTTTTCTCTCATGGCCTGCCTTTAGTTCTAATTATCTCCATGCCTTTCTCTGTCTTTTTATGACAGAAAGCTAAAATCTCTTGGCTCCTTCATTAGTCCCCTCAAGCTACCATAACAAAATAGCATAGACAGGATGTGTTAAACAGCAGAAATCTATTTGCTCACAGTTCTGGAGGCTAGAAGTCCCAAATCAAGGTATCAGCCAATTTAGTTCCTGGTGAAGGCTCTTTCTGGTTTGTAAATAGCCACTTTCTGACTGTGTCTTCACATAGTTTTTCTGTGTGTGTGTAATACATAGCAAGAAAGAATGAGGGTGGAGAAGGGGAGGAAATCAGATAGAATAAGAAAGAAAGTATACAACAGCCAATTTTCTGATGGCTCTTCTTATCAGGGCACTAATTCTATTAGATTGGGGACTCATCCTTATAACCTAATTTAACTTAATGCTTTAAAGACCTTATCTCCAAGTATAATCACTCTGGGGGCAGGTAAAATTTCAAAGTATGAATTTGGTGGGGAGGGGGTACCACGGGCATAGCAGTACTTAAATGTTAGATTCTTAGTTGGTTTGGGTTTGTTTGGTTTTTTTTAATGCCTTGGGAAAGAGTTCAAATTAGTATAAGAGATCAAAACTAACCAAAGGTCTTTTCTGTTTGAGAAACAGAAAGTTACAAAGTAATTCCTCCAACACATTTACAGAAGTATGACGTTCACATTTTTCCACTCAGGGAGGCTCATCTGCACATCCTGACTCTGGCATCTATGAACTCTGACCTCCAACCAGTCACTTGACCTTTGTGAAGGAGTGACCTCCATTCTCATTCTACCTGGTAGATCTGTGTGGTGCAGCACTGTGCCTGGCATATGGCCAACCCTGTGGAGCTCTTATTATTACTGCCATTGTTACTATTAAACAGGGATCAGAGGAAGTGGATTGTCCCTATTTAGGATTGTTTCCTATAACACAAATATACTCAACACCAGGGAAAAATTAGTTTAGAGTTCTTTAAGCTCATCTGAGGTTTCACCTAATCAGTAGATAAATTATGGACATGTAGCCTATTTTATTTACTTAGAAATAATGTTTAGTACATCAAATACTTAATAAAACATGCTTCAAGATAGAACTCAGAAAAGGTTAAGAAATAAAGACTAAAGTGTAGAGACTACTGGAGAGTCAAAATCAGGATTGTATTTTAGGACACACATTATTTTCTTCAAATTAGAATCATTTATTGAGAGAGAATGTTAGTACATCTTTTAAAAAATATATTTTTAGTTACATGTGGGCACAATATCTTTGTTTATTTTTATGTGGTGCTAAGGATTGAACTCAGTGCCTCACATATGCAAGCCAAGTGCTCTGTCTCTGAGCCACAACCCCAGCCCACTGTTAGTACATCTTTATGGGGTACATTGTGGTAATTCAGTATTTATATAAAGTGTGTAATAATCAAACCAGGGTAATTAGCATTTCCCTCTCTCCAAATATTATCATTTTTATATGTGGGGGATTTCCTATTTTTCTGGTCATTTGGAATATATCACAGATTATTTTAACCTATGATCACCCACCTGTGCTAAAGAAGAACCAGAAATAATCCTCCATTCTGTTTTGGTGACCTTGGGCTTCTTTTGTGCCTCCTCCCTCTTGCCCTTCCTAGGCTAATGTATATTCTCTCCTTAAATAGTGACCACTACTATTTCATTCTTCTTTAAGGTTGACATCAGTTTCCACAAATGAGTGATAATGTGCAGTACTTGTCTCTGTCTGGCTTATTAACAGAATGGCCACCAATTCTGTACATATTGTTCCAAATGACAGGAGATATAGATAGATATATGTATATATAGATATAGATATATATATTTAGTTGTAGGTGGACACAATACCTATTTTTTTTAATGTGGTGCTGAAGATCGAACCGAGCGCCTCACATGTGCAGGCGAGTGCTTTACCATTGAGCCACAACCCCAGCAGTATTTCACTTTTTTAATGGATGAATAATGCTCCATTGTGTATATATACCAGATGTTCTTTATTTACCCATCCACTGAAGGGCCTCTGGGTTGATTTTTTTTTTTTTTAAACCAGGGGTGCTTTACCACTAGACCACATTCCCAGCACTTTTTATATTATATTTTGAGACAAGGTTTAAGTTGCTTAGGGCCTAGGTAAATTGCACAGGATTGCCTGGAACTTTTTTTTTTTTTTTTTAATAAGATTTTTTTTTTTTTTTTTTTTTAAAGAGAGAGTGAGAGACAGAGGGGGACAGAGAGAGAGAATTTTAACATTTATTTATTTTTTTCTTAGTTCTTGGCGGACACAACATCTTTGTTGGTATGTGGTGCTGCTGAGGATCGAACCCGGGCTAGGCAAGCGCGCTACCGCTTGAGCCACATCCCCAGCCCCTGCCTGGAACTTTTGATCCTCCCACCTTAGCCCCCCAAGTCACTGGAATTACAGGCATGTGCTACCACACCCGGCTCTGTTCTATATTTTAGTAGAAAGAGCAGTGAACACTGCTGCAGGAAATTTGGGACTGCAAGTACCTTTTTGCCACAGTGAGATCATCTCCTGGTAGTAGAATTACTAGATCATAACTGTAGTTGTCAGTTTAAGGGGGGACTCTTCTATGATGGCTGAGTCCCCGCCAGTGGTGTTTGAGAGTTCCCGTTTCTCTGCATTCTCTCCAGCATTTGTTGTCTTTTTGATGACTCACCACCAGGGTGAGATAACTCATTGTGGTTTGGATTTGCATTTCCCCTCAATTAGTGAGATTGAGCATTTTTTCATGTATTTAGTGCCTATTCATATGTCATGTTTTGAGAAGTGTCTGTTTAGTTCTTTAGGCCAGTTTTTCATTGGATTGATTGTGTGTTTGGTTCAGAGTTCCTTATGTACTCTGGATATCAATCACTGGATGAATAGTTTGTAAATGTTTTCTCCCGTTCTGTAGGTTGTCTCTTAGTTCTGTTGAATATTTACTTTGCTGCACAGAGGCTTCTTAGTTTGATATAATCATTTGTCTAGTTTAATTTGTTGTCTGTGCCTCCGAGGCCACACAGTATTTCCATCAATTATGTGGCAGGATGGGAGAGTAGAAAGAGCAGGCGTCTAATATCATTCAGAAGTGGGTTCCAAGACAAGCTGGTATTGGACAACCAAGTTCTCCATTTAATGACTGTGTGGCCTTGACAATGTATTTAACTTCTGTAAAGGGGAAATGATAGTGATGCTTTTATCATGGGGCCATTGTGAGGATTAAATTAGAAGGCAGTGAGGATATAGCTCAGTGGTAGAATGTGCTTATCATGTGCAAGGCCCTGGATTCAATCACCAGAACCACACACCAAAAAAAAAGTATATAATATATGGGGGGTGCTTAGCTTAGTTTGTACTTAGACCATATACCAAGCTCTTGATAAATTACTATTATTGCTACTTGTACCTGTGGGATGTGGTGCAGTCCACCTCTCTGTTCAAAGCTTAAATTTGTCTCCAAGATGCAAATATGATCATTTATTTTGCATGTTTGCTGTGACGATTAGGAGAGATAGTAAATAACCAATAGCCTGTCTTTCATTTTCATGAGCTGAATAAATATTAGTTCCCTACTGCAGTCACTCTCTTGGTTTCCCTACCCTCATCCCCTAGTAAAATAAGAAGATAAAATATGATATTCTTGCTATTAAAAAAATCAAGAAAATTCTCAATTTGTACGAAGCCTTCCACAGAACTAAGCAATACGCCACATGTGAAGTGGGTCCTCTGTGTCTTGTGCTGTGTTGCACCCTGTAGAAACCCAAGCCTTTGGAAGGGGGAGGGGCTGCACACAGGAGGTGCATGCCCTGAACTCCAATTGAGAGAATAAAGACTGTCGGTCTCACAGAAGGTCCATATTTCTCAAACTGTGCTCATGATATTTTCAAAAACCTTTCTCTCATGTCTCCCTCAAACCTGCCATTGCACGAGTTTTCCCATCTCTTTAAGTGGAACCCCACTGTCCCCACTCCCCCAGCCACTCAGGCAAGAACCCAGGATCCATCTTTGCCCCCTCTTGGTTCATCTAAAGATTTGTCTGCATTCTTTGTTCCACATTCTTTGTTCCACATTCATCCATCTGCAAATTCTAGTTCTGCCTCTAAGCAACAGTCCCCTTCCATTCATCCCCTTCCCACCTCCACTGCTGTCACATCGACCCTAAACCACTCATATATGTTTGCCTCCAAAAAGCTCTTAGATAGTCTATAGGTCTCCTTTCCAGAATGTCTCATATCATTTCCCAAGAACCAAAGCGACCCTTTCAAAGCATTATTCAGCTATCTCACAATTCTCCAATGGCTTCCCATTACACTTAGAATGAAAACATTCAATCCCATTATCAAACCTGTCCATCGTCCATCCTTCTACCCTCGTCTCCCTCAGAGCAACTTCTGGGAACCTGTGCACTTGAAAATCTTTGTCATTGCACTCCTCTGGTGTGTCCTGCAGATAAAGGGTGACTGCCTCAGCAACTTCTTTTACCATCCTAATGTATATTCTCTCCTTAAATTATACTTTAGCCTGAAGAAAATAAAATACAGTAATAGGCACTTATTCCTAAAATGTATTGTCTGTCCATGAGAATGTAAATACCACAAGAGCAGAGCTGTTTTGCTCACTGTTGTATCTACAGAATCTAGAACAGTGTCTAGTATATGGAAATTACAGCCAGCCCTCTGTATCTGCAGGTTCTACATATGCAGATTCTAACTACAGATTAAACTTTTTTTTTCAATTACATCTATACCAAACTTGTACAGACCTTTTCTTGTTATTCCCTATACAGTACAGTTATAACAGTTACTTAGGTAACATTTATATTGAAATTAGGTACAATAAGTAATATAGAGGTGATTTGAAGTATATGGGACCATGTACCTGGGTTACATGCAAATAGTAATGCCATTTTGTCCAAGGGACTTGAATATCTGCAGGTTTTAGTATCCACAGAGGAATCACTGTATTTACTAATGTTGAACAAAAAGCATCTGATAATGTCATATCACCGCATGCAAAAGAGCTGTGGCAACTTTGCAAAATCTAGGATTGTGTTTATTACAGCACAATTCACAGTAGCCAATGGAACTAGCCTCAGTGTTCATCAATAGAAGAATGGATAAAGAAAATGTGATATATATATATATATATATATATATATATACACACACACACACACACACACACACACACAATGGAGTTTTATTTCACCATAAAGAAAAATGAAATTTTGGCATTTGCAGGAAAATGGATGGAACTAGAGACCTTCATGTTTAGTGAAATAAGTCAAACTCAGAAAGTTAAGGGTTATATTTTTCTCTCATATGTGCAAGCTGAGGAGGAAAAAAAAATTGGGGTAGATCTCATGAAAATCAAAGGGAGATAAATAGAAGGAAAGGGGAGAAGGGGTAGTGCTGGGGAGTGATATTGGCCAAATTATATTGTTATATTGTGTGCATATAACAACAGATCTCATCAATATGTATAGCTATAATGCACCAAAAAAAAATCTAGAATCTTCCTTGGCTTATGGAAGTAGTGACACTGGCATGTCAACTAAATTTTTTTTTCAGTTCTATATCAGTTCTGATATTCTTAAGATTCTATGAGTTCTACGGGAATCTTTAAATTGTATTGTCCTGATAATTTAAAACAACTCACGTGAGTGTATTCTGGATCATCTTCAGTGGCCATTAACTTCTGAAACATTTGTTCCCTGTTTTGCATCCTGAAAACCAAGTGCATTATGAGAGAGGAGGGGGCACATTTCTTCTCATGGAAAGACCTACAGATCTATAGACATGAAATGTATTTTTTTTTTAATTCTGTATGTTGCTCATCTCTCCTGGCTTTCAAGACCAGACCAGTGGTAAAGAATAATTCAGACTCATGGCAACAGTCATTAAATTTTAGATTTTATTTACCTGTATAAATTTCATATTAATGTCTGGAAAAACACTGATATGCATTCCTTCACACTGAAAGAAGAAGGTACTAGTACCTGTACTAGAGAGTATCAGCTGTCTGTGTGCACTACGGGATGCTCCCTTGACTGCTGATCGGTGATGGTGTTTCTAAGACCATGTTGTCTTCTGGGTGATTTTTTTTTAAGTTGCTAAATATTTCCTCTTCTGAAAATGGCAATACTGCTTGCTTACTTGAAACTTCATTTTCTTTTGTTGTAAAAATTAGATTTTTGTAGTACATGAGCTGGGAAGATGTTTAGTGTTATGGGAACAGGTCACATAAAGAGGTGTTATGGATAATCCTCTCATTATGACTAAGCAGAAGAAGTACCAGGGTTGCACACCCTGGCTCTACCATCACAAGTTCTATGATCTTGGGCAAGTTAAGTAACTTCCCTGTTCCTTGGTTTCCTGATCCATAAAATGGGACCAATCATATATGTATGGCACAAGGCTGTTGTGAAAATGAACGCTGTTGGCAGCGAGGCTGGCACATGGTGGGTACTCAGTGCTACATGGATCACATATGTTCTTAATTGGCCCAGGCTCTTGCCATTGTTTCTGCTTGGTCCCCAGATTCTGCTGCAGAGATGTCTTATACAAAAAAAAAAAAATTTATTTAGTGGCTGAATGATCTAATTGATACCTAGGTCCACACTGTGTTGCCACCATCTAGCTGTGTGATCTTTCAGCCGCTGTAGATATTTTTCATACTCTAAAATAGGAATCATGAAACTTACCCTACTTGACAAGAGTTCATGAGACCTAAATGAAATGGGAATAGATTTTAAGGTTTTAAAATATTATCCAAATGATAGGCAACTTGGAATGCATAAACACGAAGTCATGATTTTTAAAATCTTACTGGTGGGCTTTTTTCTGTTTGGGGATGCATTTAACTTCCTCCATGAGCATCCCCCATCCATTTTAACTTGTGGTCTCTGTAGAAAACATTTCATCTCCATGCCTAATGGTCAAGACCCATTGCTCACATGGCAAAGGCTAAATAAATGCATGGGACGGAGACCCTGCCCTGTCAATTTGGTTTTCCGTGTATTTACCAGGTGTCACCAACACATCATCATGCAGTGAGCACAGGAGAGCAGAGACAACATGCCCACACCGTCCTGTCCTCCCCACCCAGAGGGACAGTCAGCCTAAGGTAAGATACCTTAAAATTCTCACCACCTCAAGGGAATTACTGAAAAACAAATATAGCAGAGAACCCAGAAATGTGATCTTACATAAAGTTTCTCCAAAATCCACCCATTCTTTTATTCTCATGGCTTTTCTTATCCATTAACTATTAATGGAGATTTGTTGTTGGGTGGAGGGGGCGGTGGCTTGGAGTAAGTTTTCTTGCAGAATTGGATATTAAGTTTGGTCGTTCTGGTTAAGGGCTCAGTTGTGGCATTAATCCTGGTGTGAAATGAACAAGGTATAGTTTTTTAATCCTGATCAAGGATCTCCTTAACCGGGATCAGAGAAATAAGGGAAAACTAGGAAGTACAGATTTGAAACCTGAAAGAGCAGTGTTGCTCTCTACTGGTATTTCTTGTGTTTACTCAATTTTATGAAGATGGCCTCATATACATGTCCACAGATGGACAAAGAGAAGCTCAAGATTATAGTAGCTAATTGTAATAGCCAAGTATAGTGGCCATGAAAACATCCAGTGTGTATTAAAGTCTGAACCCAGTCAGAGCCCCTTGGATGTTTCCTTACTTATTTTTTCCTCGTAATTTCGGACTCTCCTTAGAATGCCCACTGGAAAAAAATCTCTCTTGTCTGACTCACAGGAAGCCCAGGGGAGAGGGCAAAAAGTGCCGGAAGGTATATGGCATGGAGAACCGGGACATGTGGTGCACCGCCTGCCGCTGGAAGAAGGCCTGCCAGAGGTTCATCGACTGAGTAACAGAGGGCAGCCCCAAGCTGCTCCTGCCTCCCGTTTTGCTGCAGGTTTTAGGAAGAGCCTTTCCTTCTGAACAAAACCTCAAAACCCAGGGAAAGCCCTTCTACGAGCCTTTGTGGAGTTACAGCAAAAAAAAAAAAAAAATCAAAAATATCACCACCTGTGCTGCTCTTACTGAGAACCCAGCCTAGAGTGGCTAGAACATTTCCCCCCCTGTCAAAAGAAAAGTCAACTTAGCCATGTATTTAGGTCTTAAGACTATGGACTTCTGTAACAACTGAACCAACCAAGCCCATTTTACCTAGAAAGGAGGCATATTTTGATAAGCTTTCTGAATTATGGCATTTCTGAGAATTTTTTCAACCCTTAGGGGGGAAAAGAAATCACATTAGCTACAACATTATTCAGTAGCATTTGTACAAAGAACAATACCCACTTTGTGAATAGACTTTTCCCCTCTTTTTCATTGACTTCTTGAAGCAGTACACATCATGATGTGTTGCAAGAAAGAGCAGCACTCTGGGTATCTTTTCTATGTCTGTTTTGTTTGTTTTTAAGAATGGCCCCAGATGGCGTAAGCTCCAAAAGCAATTGGCAATGGAGTCACCAGCGGCCTGCAGTCCCAAGTTGAGTTCAGGAAATGTAGCTGCCACTGTTGGAAACCATCGAGGAATCTTCCTTGGATCTGTAAGGAGCTCTTCCCCCAAGAGGCAGCACAGGTAATTCTCCACCTGCCACAACTCAGACAAGAACTGGCATCCGTAGCCATCTGGGTAAGCCTTGATGCTTCTTTCAGGGATGTGATACAGACTGCAGCTCAGATCTGTGTGTTACTGCTTGTCCATCAAGACTGTAGCCAGGTTCATGGGTCATTGGTCCATCCCTCAAAACTCCACCACTGACTGATTCCCAAAAAAGCAGGGAACTCGACTCTCCCAGCAGGTTTGCATTGAACAGCAGGGCACAGCTAACACGTCCCCATCTGTTCAGAAAGTCACCTTCCAGTCTGCGTGCACTTTTATAGGTTTCATGCTTTAGTGTGTCTGGGAGATGGGTTCAAGAACAATATAAATATTATATGGATAAATGGAAGGTCTGAACTTTTATTTTTCTTATAAAAATATTGGGCTATTCATTAATTTGCTCAGAAGGGAACATACAGAACACCAAAAGGAGAATGCATGTTGGTATAGGACTTTCTCGAGTTAGTAGGGCCAGGGCTTGCACTGTGTTCCATTTGTTGGGATTTCTAACCAGTTGTACTTGTTGTTTGTTTTGGTGTTAGTAGTGTGGGTAGTAGCTGCCAAGCCTTTAAAATTAGCCCATCCTCGATTATCTGCCCTACCTTCAACTGCCCTGCTAAAGAGATATTTCTCCTATACCTATGCAAAGAAGAGCACCTTATAGGATGCACTGTATAGGGGTGGGGACATAGGATCAGCCATAGGAATGTTAAATGAAATTGCACAGAGGAAAGCTTAATATATGTTTAAAGACTGTACATATGCTTTTTTAAAGAATAGAAAGAAGTCATCTAGTAATTACAGATACCCTTTTCTATTGTAAGCAAGGGATATATAAGGAGGTTCTACAGTGCAACATCCATAATTTGTGCATTCATATATTATGGTAAATTTATTTTTTAAACTCTCATATGACTTTTTAAAAATTATTCCTTGGAAAAGACCCCAGTCTTTTCCTTCATTTATTTTTTTAAAAAAAAAACACATTTCAAGAGAAAAGAAAAAGAACATCTAATTTTACATCAAGATTACTAATCAATCAATATAGCCACACCAGCTGTACTGTATGTTTTGGAACTTACAAGGTCAGCCAGGAACAGGTGTATTTTTAAATGCAAAAATGTATTGGGTTTCCTCTTCCCTAGCATGTCCTTTCTTCTCCTGGTATCTTATCACTTTGCCTATAGCACCACTGCTGTGAGATGCTGCTCTGGCCAGGTCCAAAAGGCCGTAAGCAATGAGTATATCACCCAGTGTCCTGGAGGAGGCAAGGCTGGCCAATTATTTGAGCAGGTTCACCATGAACTTAAATGAAAGGGTGCAATTGTGGCCCAGAGGATTTTCTCTTCAGCAGATCTCCCTGTCACTTGATTCTTGGATTAAGTCACAAAAAATTAAAGTGATCTGTGTTAAATTCATTCCCTTCCAAGAATTTAGAACACAAGGAGGGATCTTTGCTGTGGAGTAGTCTTGGAAGAAGGCCCTGTAGCTGTTACTCTAAAAGATACAACCCATGAGTACTTCTGAGCTCAGGCCTAGCTATGCCAGGCTCAATCAGTGCACAGGTGTAAGCAGAACCTTTCTTCTGAAGCCTTCTTCACACACATTCTGCATCTCCTGCCCAAGTGGGGGCGCCTTTCTGCTGACCAGTCCAGAGCTCTGTGTACTTTCCTTCCTGGCTTCCAGATGCGGACGGACCCCAGTACCTTCTTGCTCACTGACACCTATTCCCTGCACCAAGACATGTAATAACTAGGAGACCACCAAGCTACACCTGGCTGGCCTTGAAGAAGACATTATACTTTGTACAAGCTCTGAATTGCAATATGCAGCTGCTGATTGTACAAGTTAAATTTTTTAAAATAGTTATTTTGTTATTTTTGGAACCAAATGAAGTGCCAAATTAAGCCAGACTTTCATTTCACGCCATCTCTGTGGAACCAAGTTCTTTTATGTCTGCATTTGGCAGGGAGAAGGGTAAGAAGAGCAGTCCCAGGGTAAGCTGGCGAGCCTTGTCCATCCCAGGGAACTCAGAGGCCTGTCCAGGCAAAAGGAGTGGCAATACAATGGATTCTGGTCCAGTGAAAAGTTCTGATTTTTTTTTTCCCTTCTTTGATGCCCCTTCTTTTTAAAAAGTTCTCTCATTTCTCTACAAAGGAGGCATTTGATATTCACCAACAGGGCACATACCAGTTAGCTGCAAAGCAAAAAGTGTGTATCGGGCAATAGCCTCAAGACTTAGTTCTTCCCAGAGTAATGGACACTCAACTTGTGGGAGGCAGTGATGCAACTTGAAGAAAACACCCAGATAGCAAGTGTGTCAGGGAGGAAGATTCAAGAGGCCTGCGGACACCTGGCCCCTGTTCATCTTGGGGCTAATCAGCCAATAGTGACTGTCTCTGAGCATTACCCACGGGTACAGGGCTGCTGAGCATCTCCTCCTCAATTGCTGGAAAGTTTCCTCCCTTGGTTGGCAAAAGCCAGTGTTGGGAAAAGAGTGGTGGGTTTCCAACCAGGAATGTGCATGCTCAGCTAAAAAATGCCTGTCAGTAGCTCCATGTACAAACAAGGTACCCTTCAGCGGACAATTTCCTGCCATAACCATGTTGCAGATGGAGAAGTTCAATAGAGAATGATGCCTGTTATAGTTCTTCAATTTTCCAAAAAAACTTTTCAAAGATGGTCACATGTATGCTGCAAAAAATTTCTGAAACTGATATGTCCTCCATTAAATGTCAAGAGCATTCAAGTTGAAGTCCTCTGTCTCTGATGTCACACTGCCCACACTTTTGCAAGCAGCCGTGGGTTCTGAGTTAGCCAACACTGCTGAATTCCATTTTTCCCTTCCTCAGATTCCATTGAAAAATGACATGCAGCATTCACTTGAGAAGGTTTAGGGAAAAGTGGCAAAAATTGTATATAATGAGAATACCTTTAGAATTGTAGCAGAATACTGTAAATAATATTCATTTCCTCAGGGAAACAAAGGCTATGTGAAAATAGGAGAATTCTGAGACTAGGAAGAATTTTACAGTCTTTTCTAGTTGGAATAATTTTTTTTTTCTTTTCATGTGAACATGATATCATTTCAAGACAAATTTATGTGACCTGGACAATACCAACTTTTGTAGATGTGGGGAAAATGCCCCATGAAGAAGCTTTGTCTTTGTAGCTGGCCTGCAATCGAAGGCTGACATTTGAACCACAGGCGCGGTGCCTGGTGGGTATTCACAGACTCAGTGAGGCTTTTTGAATGTAATTGTGAATACAGAGCCTTGCCATTTCTTTTTATAATCACCCAGTTTGGTGACTGTTAATTAGCGATCAGCAGAATTCTATAGGTAATAGAAAGCCGTTAAAGATGTGCATTTTGCTTTACTAGCATGTTAAGGAGCAAACTGCCATGGACTTTATGGACAAGGTGCTGCTTTTTCTCACAACCCTGTAGGATGTCTACCAACCACATCAGCTGTAGCATTGGCCTGTGTGAACACAGGGAAGAATTTGTGCATACTAATGAGTGGAAACAGCAGGATTCATGAATATGAATGAGAATGTGGATCATTTTAGAGAATGTGCTGGGCACATGGGTCAACTGGAAATTTCATTTCTCTAAGCAAGGAACCCTACCAGCAGCACACAGACTCACCCTGTTCCTCCTACCTGTGGGGATCACTCCACCTAGGAGCTGTTTCATTCTGTCTTTTAAATTGTAACTAGCCAAGCCTGAAGTCAGTAAATGAGAGTAGCACTTTTAGATATCAATACAATCTCTGAGTAATGTACACCAATAGAGCAAGAAAACATCAAATGTATTTAAGACCTACTTCTTATGACTGACTTTGAAAAAGCCCATATCCAATGATATACATGCTTTAAAAGGTGTGTCTCTCATAGGACCAGGAACGAATATGGGAATTGTACTTCCAGTCCTATTGTGTAAATAGTTCCTTTTTTTTGGAGACAATCTCATGTTTTATAACTTTTGTTGTGTGGGTCTGAAAATCACATGGTAATGTGTTGTGGCAAGATGTAATCTTCAATAATAATTATAACTTAATTTTCCAAATGAAACAAAACACTTCTTTAGATGTCTACAATTCTAAGACACGACACTTTTATAATAAGCATTAGTACTGAACTCTTCAAGTTATCAGAACTGGAAATATTTTACAAGATGCAGTGTTTTTGTAATCACAAAAGAACATGAACATTTTGTGGGAAATGACCTTGGTTTTATACATTGTAGCTTATTTTTTAAAATACAGTATTTTACCAGACAGGAAGTGTTCATATTATACACAATTCCTGTTCGCTGAACAAAGGGCTATGCCTCTTTTAAGCAAGTGTTTTGATGCATATCTTTTCAATTAACCCTCTGTAGCAAGGGTAGAAATGCAGATCAGATGGAATGGTTATTTACAAGAGAATCAAGATCACAACACCTACATCTTTATCATTGCCAGAATGTTTTCAAAGCATTAAGGAAAAAAAGACACTTGAAGAATCATCACACACATTTTAAATCTTAAAAAAACAAAAAAAGAAAGTTGGCAGATATGCTTATAGGCCATAGGAGAGAGATTCTTATAAATTCTTTAGTGTAAAATGATGGATTCTGTCATGAGACACATTTTCCACTCAACCTACCAGAACCACAAACCTGCATTTACTTAACAAATATCATTTGGAGGAAATTTCTAAAATCATAGTATGTACATCCAAAGACAGAATTCTTAGGAGATGAGTAGTGTTTAAAGTAATGCTGTCCTCAGCACTAACTTTAATTTCCTTATCAGAATAAGTGCTTGATTTTTCACTGTGAAGAACTCACAGGCGCGCACGCACACACACACACACACACAAAGTGACTGTTCCCATGAGTCAGGAAACAAGGAAGGGAGCTGTGGAGAGTTTATTAACTGCACAAACGACTGTGAGTTTTGCCAAAACCATCTCATAATACTGTAAACTTTTCTCAAGCCCACTCACTGTTAAAATGAGAAAGTGTCTTTTCTAAGATTTTAGTAATCCAGAAGCTAGCCTCATTAGCCAAGTATGCAGATAAGAAAAATTGAGATCAAATGGCCCCATGCTGGTTGGGCAGCCCCTATGAAGTGGTCATTCAGAGCTTGGTTTCAAACAGATTTTGGACTCTGCAGACCTGAGGACTAAAATACATGGAGTTAGGGAAGTTCACACACAGCCAAGGCTTCCAGTCTTTGAGATGGGACAACCTAGAAAACTCCATCAGCATTCCCTCAGTATATCTCCACTGTTAACTCGGGCCTCAAGTGTTTATTGCTGTATAGTTTAGAACCAATGAGTCTCATTTCATCTTTAAATGGAAGCTTCCTAATGGTATATAATAGGGGTTGCAGTTGCCAGGCAAGATCTGTGTAAAAGATCAGTGCAGACAAAAGAGGGGCACTGTGGAATGGCATCAGTCATGTTGAACTGGAAAGTACACACCCACTTAGGAAGACCCACACTCAGCTCTAGACAATCAGACAGAATTCAGGCCCAGGACTGCTTGATCTTCTCACCTGGAAATGTGATACTCCCTGACATTCAAGCTTTGACAACCAATGCAGATTCTTAGCCAACACTGTGCAGACCAAAGACAAGCCATCTGTGGGCAGTTGTAGCCGCAGGCTGCCAGTTTCAACGGTTGGAGAGAGTAGATTTCACATTCCATGGCTATCAGGTCAAGTTCTTCTGTCGGCCCCACAAACTCACATGTTGGCACTATCTGGGCAATTAAAATCAAAAGGGGGCAAGAAGTCATTTGTCCCCAGAAATTATCCTCATGGAAGGCTTAAAATAGAAATGTCATATCCTTAGACTAGCCTTGCCTCTGATCAAAAGGTACTGAGTTACTCCCCAGCTCTGGTGAGAGCTGCCTGTGGCCCACCCAGGCCATGCCCCAAAGCATTGAATAACTGTAATCCTGATTCTTACTGTTTTTTATTACCGTGACCACTGTGACGAGGGGCTGGCAAAGAGCAGCCTGTGCCTTCAGAGAAGGCAGCCAGGAACCCCCTGAAGTTTTAAGGTAGCACACGTTGCCTCCTTATGCCAAAGCCCTCTGCCACCTCTCCACGCTCCTTCCCAAACCATCTTGCCTCACTCCAGTATAAAATTACTGTTATTTTTCACCTTTGATAGGGCAAAGTCCTTGCTTCAGAACTGGTAGGCACTTAGGTATTTCAAAGTATCTCCTCACCTTAACAGAGGGTTTCTACATAGAGAACCACAGCTGCTTTGAGGACAAAATCAAAATGAGAATAATGGGGAAAAAATAATGAGAACAGATTAGAAGTTGCTAACTTTCAAAGGGACTGAGTTACTTTAAACTGTGTCTTAGGTTGGAGTCCTGATGATATTGGGATAATTGTAAACGGCGAAGGATGTCCTTTAGATACATTATTTCACTTGATCTTCATAGGAAGGGCAGTGTAGAATGAGCATATGGAGAACCACCATCACTCACCTCCAAAACCAGCCCAGAGTCATGTTGGGCCTGTGAGTCAGCCTCACTGATGCCTGCAGAGAGGGAGGAGAGGGCTTTTTTTCTTCCTATATCAACTTAAATCAATGCCAGAGACTATAAAACCAGCTTATAATTTGTAATAATCAAATCAATAAGTAACTACAAACTCAAAAGTTGGGAATGCCCATGCACAAAGCCCTGGTTTCAATCCCTAGCACCACATACACACACACACACACACACACACACACACACACACACACAAATTGGGAATGTCTAGTTGTTAAGTCCTGTTTAAATCTGAATCAACTTAAACACCATTGGCAATACCCGAGATTTCCTTCACTGTGAATGATTCAAATGCTGTCCAATACATACATGAACTTCAACATCTCCCATTATTTTGCCAGGTTTAACACCTTGAATGTAAAGTCACAAGAGTTCTGTCATAGAGTTAGAATAAGCCTCAGAAAGCCTTTTGGCCTGTCACCCACTTCATTAACAGGTTTTTTGATGATTGGCACTTTTTTTATGTCTCTGAAGTAAATACAGTACCAGAGGAGGAAAAGGTTTAGCACTTTTCACCTCTTATGGGAAAGAAGCCCTTTGGGTAGTGGTTAGCACCAATACCACAACAGTGACCCGACCTAAAAAGACACAAGTGTTAGGAAACAAGAAGAAAGCTCTGTTTCCAAAAGCAGATCACTACAGATTTTGAAAGGTTGTGATCTGGGGCAGATTATGATCAAATCATAATCCTTGTTTTAAAAAAAAAAAAAATTCACGTTGGGCACCATCCACATTATTAACTATATCAACTTACAAAGGGAAGGTCCCTTTATTTATATTATGAAAATGCTAAAAATTAATTCTGGAGTCAATTAGTGACATTTTCCTACTAGGATCAATTTCCCACATTTTTAATTCGGAAAATTATCTGAAGTAGAAAGTAGCAACTCCTAAAAAAAAAAAGGCAAGAGTGCTGTCAAAGAAGAAAATCTTCTTTGAGGGGGCAAAAAATAGCAGAGATGCTCATCTACATCCATGTCTAAAGAGGGAAACCAGCACTCTGAAGAATTGAGCTTTTTCAAAGAGAAGAAAGAGCAGTTCCCATTTCTGGTTACCAGTCTTGCTTTCTACCCTCTTGGCAGCACCTGCAGATTTGCTAGTGGTTGCTTCTTCTCCCTTCTTCCTAGCCAGAGGCCAAACTGCTGTTTTGTTCCAAAGCTGTGGATGGGCTATTCTTGATCCTTTGTTTTCCCTTAAGTTTAGGCCCAAGAGGATACATACATATTGCTGGGACTGGTATGATAGGCTCAGTCGATGTGGCTGCCCCCTCCCTGCAGGGGACAGATTTCCATGCAGGTGACTATGAGGAGGCTCAGTCAGCATACAACCTACCACACTGTCACAAGAGCTCTGTTCAAACCCACGGATAGAGAATAACAAGGTACGCACCTAATCCTTTCCCTGTGCCTCAAAGCCCCATCCCACTCCCCCACTGGTCAACTGTCCCACCAGTCCCTTCCCCGTGCACAGCTAATTGAGCAGAACAAAGAACATGCACTGGGATCCATGTTAGGAGAAGCACCCAAGGGCAGAGCAAGAGGGCTTCGCGTTTAATTACACCTTGACCCCTGCCCACAACTACAGAGCACAAAAGTGGAATTGGCCTTTATTATGTAAAAAGGAAGTAGCTCCTGCACAATATAACTGTTTAAATTTTATATTTATAGAAAGAAAAAACAACTCCAGTCCACTTACATTGTTAAGCACTTGTCCTGCACCCCAGCACAGCCTGCTTCCCATGTTTTGGGCACAGATAACTGACACAGGGAAAAGGTGGCACTCTGGGGGCCTGTGGCTGCTGGAGTCTGAATTCCCCTGAGTAAGCAATGCGTAACTTTGCAGATTATACACTCTTATTTTACTTTTTAAATCTTTTTTTTCCTATACTCTGCTTATTGGAAATAAATGGTTATGATTTGACCAACCCCTGTGATGACAGCAAAGTTGCTCCTTCCAATAGTATCCCAAGAGTTTTGGGAAACTCCCCAATCACTGGTAGAAAGCTTTAGAACAGACTTAGATTTGTAAGAAAGAACTCAGTACCGCCCCCCCCCCCATTCACGAGTTCCATGGCTTCAATAACCGAAAATGCCCTGAGTGTAAAATAACTCAGGAATGTGGATCACGTCTATAAAAATATATATATGTATATGTATATATATATGCCATTAGTCCATATTTTCCTATGGTGCACCCTGAAATTCCTATTTTTATAACTAATGGTTGGACAACGGTCAGCCATTTAAACAAATGCTCTCTGGACTAACCAGACCCTAATATAGTTTCCAAAGTGTTTCATATATCAAAATCCTATATGCTTAGAAAAAGAACTCAGGATAAGAAAAAATTGCTAGGTCCCAAAGGGTTCATGACTATCATCAAATGTAACTTCCAAGTGGCCTACACTCATTTCTTTCAAGGGAGGGGCTAGGGAGAGAGAACAACAGTAATCACAAAACCTCTGTTGCCCTTACTCCATGGTAAAGTTTAAGAGAACTCTGCTTTTAAAAATTAAGCCATCTTTCAAATTGTTTTCTCCACCAAATCTAAAATACTAAAATAAAATTATTAAATATTTTAAAAGGGGTAGTTAGTGGAAATGCTATCCATAGAAAGCATTGCTTTTCAGTGCCTGCTAAGCAAAAATATATGTGTGTGTGTACATACATACATATATGAAAAACAAGAAGCATTCCTACCTGTGGGACACTGGTATCAAATGACAGGTGTGAACATATACAGGCACAAGTTCAAAAGCTGTGTGGCAATGCTATCCAGTGTTCAGAGATCTTTTGAAATACAATCTTGCCACCATTCTGGGGTAAGTACTTGCTTAAAAAAACTCTTAATATTAGTGAATGAATGTATAAAATTACAAACTATGCATTTTCAAAAGTAACATGTATTTTGTATCAAATCCAAGTAAACTTTTTTTCATAGAGACTTATCATAATTGCAGATTATCCAAAATGAACTTGAATGCATATCTTCGAGGGCATGTGGGATACTGCCTATGTTCTCCTGGCTGTTTTTAAAGACAGTGCAGTGGAACTTTCCTGGGAAACTCCAGGCTCTAAAAAATAACCATTCTCACAATTCTTACCATTCTGAAGAACCATTAAGATGAATAAATGGGAAATGGCTTATATATTTCTTCCTAAGCATAAGTGGAAATGTTGCCTTTTAAAAATGTGCCCAGGTCCTCAGAGGTAGATGTTCTAGCAACACTGGATGAATAAGCAAACAGCTGCATTAAGTTAGTGAGTACTACATCAGATAAACATGGCATAGGTTTTGTCTGTTGTGCTTAATTCTCAATCCAAGAAAAAAAAATTTCAAAAAGCTTGGGTTATGTGGTATTAAAGGACAAAATATAAAAATATGGTCCAACAAATCATTTTTCTTTTTTCACAATTACACAGAGATGACTCCTTATATTTTGGAAAATTCTTATAGACTATACACAAATCTCTTCAACCCTCTTACTGATTTTATATTTCCCTGAAACCTTTTCTCCTAATAATTTGTCTTTGCTCCTTAATTACATTACTCAGCACACAAAAAAAATATTATTTCCCTCATCTGACATTACAGATATAAAGAACTCTGTTCTCTGCCATTCTGGTTCTCTTCTGTGTCTACTGAGAAAGTTTCTTGACTGTTTGTAAAGTAGGGGAAAACACTCTTCTAAGCCTGGTATTTGAGGTCATGGTGGATATGTTTGCTACCTAATTATAAGTTAGTTGGGGAGGGGCAATGTGTCTTTTTTATATAATTTTTAGCCAAATCCAGATGTTCTGATACTACATTTCTGAATACTTTTCTGACTGTAAATACAGCCCGTGGAGGTTCAGGTTAATAAACCTTTTCTGTGACTGTTCCTCAGCCATGCTCCTTGCCAGCTTTTGGCACATTGTACATAGATTTGTCAAATTCTTAAATGATGTTGTTTTTTTTCTAAATGCTGTTCTCTAAAACAATTTTTGTTTTTTGTTTGTTTTTTGCTTTCCATTGTTTGGACTTTATTGTTAGTTTTACAGAATGTTTCCTAAATATTTAACACCAGGAAAAATATTTTAAAATAAACTGGTGCTAATTGGAACCGAAGAAAAATTTCAGCTTGAAGATTTACAAGGGGAAACGTTCACACCCGTTAACCTGCACTTTCCCAAGGGGACAGCTGGCATCTACTTGAAATGGGCATCAGGAAGACCACCAAGTGTTTACAGTGTCTGTAGCCCATTTAGGTGTAAAATAAAGAAGAGGCTCTGACCCCCCCATAGTTGAGGATTTGCTACATTGGTCCTCTGGAGGCATTTAGGTAGAAGGAAATGCTGGTAGTAAGAATCCCTTTGGTAATAGTCTTCTGGTCTTTGGACTTTCATGTTCTGTGATGCTTAGCTGTAGTAATGAATATGGTGTTGCCAGTCTAGTCTGATGTCATCGTTGACCTGTACTTATTTTGTGTATGGCTCTACCTTGGGTTGCACTGGCACAAACTGAGCCAGAACACGGGACTTTCAATAAAAACCATTCTGACTTCAGTATCCACACACATGAACTTAAATGAACTTGTAACTGGTTGATTACCATAAAGTAAGTCTAACTTTCACTTAATAAAAGTTTTTGTGTATCTGCTTCTATTGGGGGCTGTTTATTTAAGTATAATTAATTTCTACCGAGAATAAAAAATTAAGAGCTTCTTTCCTAAATTTTACTGTTGAAGCCATTTTTAGTCACAGGTGAAAGGTGTGTCTGTTCCCATGTTCACTTAAACCATTCCCTCAAGAGTGGCTGCCTAGATGCACAAGCTGCTCACCCTATGCCAATTATCTTTTCATGACAAGCAAGCAGACGGTTTCTACTCTGGTGCTAGGCCAGCCAGCAGACCCTCCACTGGCCAAGTCTGTGTCCACTAGGAACTTATTCTGTGCAAAAGCCCTCTATGTGCACAGGTTCTTCAAGGTAGCAGGTTTTAGAGTTAAACAAACATGGCCACAAATCTGGTTTTGCCTTTTGTTAGACGGGCAATTGGACATGTGATTTAACCTTTGTAAGTTTTATAATGAAAATTACTAGGGGAAAACCTGGGAAAAATGTTCACACCCATTAAACCACCCAGAAGAGGACAGCTGGCATCTACCTGAAGTAGGTATCAGGCAGTCACCCTGTTTGAATGACATCTTCACCTATTCCTAGTCTCATCAGTGAGGGAGAAGCCTGACTCATTGCCTACCTTCTGGTTCAGAGAAGCGCCTTCATGCCTGAGCTATTGTGAGGATTACCTGCAATTACATATCTCAGTGCACAGAGAGGTATTCCACAAATGGATACCAGAATTTTCTCATGTCGATTTCTTAAGAATCTTTGTAAAATGGAGTATGCCCTGCCTTATAAAATAGCATATACATGTCTGAATATTTCATTGGTGGCTCCCGGCCATAATTCTTTATGTTGGCCATTTAACCAAGTTTCCAACTGAACCCTCTTGGAGGACTAGAGGGCCCTACAGCTGGAGACTAGCTGCTTACTCCCGCACTGCCCCGCCCAGCTCCCTGTCACTGAACCTCTATGATTTCCTCCAGAAGAGGGGTCTTGAGCTCTTTACCTTCCCTGAGATGCTATGGAGCAGAAGGCAGGGTCGTACTTGCTGTGCTGTGTGTGGTAGGCAGCGTTCCAGCGCCTCTCAAGACAGCTCTATATGGGAACCAGAGTAGGCCCCCCACCCACCTACCCACAGCTTTGCTTTCTGCAGTTTCAGTTACCTGAGGTCAATGGGCATCATCATATCTTGATGATGGCTCTCCTAACAAATCATCAGAAGGTGGCCAGTAGCCTAATACTGAATCACAATATGTCGGCCCCTCAAGTCCCTTTGTCACATAGGCATTGTTTCAATGTATACCATCAGGTATAGAGTGCAATACAATAAGATTTTGAGAGAGAGGTGACCACATTCATATAACTTACAGTATACTATTATAATTGTTCTGATAGTCATCATTTATCTCTTACAGTGCCTAACTTTATCATAGGCCTGTAAGTATATGAGAAAATACAGCCTACAACATGTAGGAATGGGTGTCATCCCCACTTTATCCAGGAGGAGGTTAAGTATCTGGACCCAAGGCTACACAGCCCGGGTGGATTTAGGCCTCCATGGCCCTGAGCCCATCAAATAACTTTTCTGTGTTTGGGGGAGCTATTAGCATATGAATCCGTGTGAGTTATGGAAGGCAAGACCAATGTCTCTTGTTTCCACTTATTGGCTTTTTTCTGCTTTTGAAGCCAGTGTGGGATGCTTTCCACCCATTCCTGCATCTATCCTTACCATGTCCTCATACCTCTTTCTGTTTATTCTCCTCTATTCTGTCTCTAGTTTCCCTCACACATCCCAAAGTCATTGCAAGGAAAGGCGGGTGCTGCCTTCACAACTAGCAACCAGTGGTCTCCTTGTGCTGCCCCAGTGCACATCTGCCAGGCCCACGGCCACTTGGATGCCAAACCTCCTTCAACACAGTATTGTCACCCTCAAACCTCAGGTTCCTGGACACATGATTGAGTGCCCACATCTTTTGCCAAAGAGGAAGGATGCACATAACAATGTCCATAAACAGTGCTTGAAGTGCACCAGCACATCCTCCCTGGTTCCCTCCAGGGTTCCAAAAAGCTTTCCTGGCCTGACAGTAGCCTGGGGAGCCCTCAGGGGTGGGGCAGTAGGAAAAATAGAAGCTAGGCTCTAAGTGTTACCCTGAAGACATGTGTAGAAATCATGAACAGCCAGCCTTCTGTATCTATGAGTTCTGCATCTGAGGATTCAACCAACCACAGATTGAAAATATTTGGGGAAAAGAGAGTTGCATCCTCATTGAACAGTTATAGAATTTTTCTCATCATTCACTTAACTATTTTCACTGTATTTGTTAGAAGCAATCTAGAGATGATTCAAATTATGCAGGAGGATGCACATATGAAAATATTATGCCACAGAAGGGATATGAACATCCAAGGATTTGAGTGTTAGGAGATTCAGGCATTCTGGAACCAATCCCCCACAAATACTGAGTAACAACTGCATTTGCAAAACAAGTTTTTACCAAATTTTTACTATCTCAAGGGATACTGCAAACTGCTGATGAAGGAAAAAAAATTATTTTAATGTAAGAATTAAAAATTATCTTCCCCTCAAAAAATACCATTCAAGAAATGACATTTCTTAAGGGTAATAGATCACCTGTTTGCAGTATCTACCTTGTATGGTCCATTAGGTGATGGATAGATTTTCAAATGAATGTGCAAATAAGTTGTTCAGAAGAGCATGTTTTCAGGCTTTAGATATGCTCTCCGCTTTCTTCTTACTGATGCCTGAACAAAGCAGGGAGGGAAGAAGTGAATACTTTAAAGACTGGTAGAGACATCTATTTGGTCTCAGGGTCTTTTTTGTTTGCTTTGGGGGGACAGTGGTGCTCTCCCACTAAGGTACATCCCCAGGCACATTTTGAGACAGGGTCTCACTAAGTTCTCAGGTATGGTCTCAGCTCATTTTTAGTTTTTTTAGAATATGTACATTCTCAAAATTGCCAATTCCAAATGACCATATTGATTACATAACAATTAGCCAATATAGGACAGAGTATAGAGTAAGATACCATCTTTTGTAGAAATGCCTTGCACATAGCAAGAATTCAATAAACGTGGGGAAAAAATGTATGCTTCTAAATGAAATAAATTACAGCATGGGTTGTACTATTAAAAGCATGCAGAGTAAATGGAATGAGGCCATTGGAATTTGTGTCAATAATACAGGAGAGACACTCTAAGCTAGCATTAAGATATAATAACACTATTTTATGAGGGAAATCTGGGTATTATAGTGGATGTTTTTTTTTTATTTGTATCTAAATAATACATGCATATAGTTAAAAAAGAAAGGAGAGTAAAAAGTTCATAGTGAAAGCAGACCCCTGCTGCCCTGCCCCATCTACCCCTTCATCACACTCCCATAAGCACCACTTTCAACTCATTAAACTGTTATCTCTGATACTTGACTCACTTTTATCTTAATTCTATGCAAGTATTGCCTAGCAAACAGAAAAAGTCAACACTACCCCAGTGATCTAGAACATCAAGAGCAAGAGGAACAGGTCACAGCATGAGCAACTGTAGAGGGATGCACAAGGACAGGAACAGTGCCAGGCACAGGTGAGTGCCTCCATCACAAGGGGTGGCCCCAGCACATGGCTGAGATCTATTCTGAGTCACATATGCATATCTCTGGGCATTGACATGCTGACCTGCTGGTGGATCCACTGGCCCCCGTTTACTTACTTACTATGGGTAAGTTTCCCCAGAACAATGGTACACCCTAGGTAACCTGAAAACAATCACATGTTCTCATTGCCTAGTTAGACCTTCAAACTAGCCTCAGACCCCAGATCAAAGGCTTCAGCCAGCCTGCTGACTAGAACATTCTACTCTCTTTTCTTATCATCTCCTCAGGGCCTCCATGCTTACAGTCCAGTCTGTCATGTTCCCGGCGACATAAACACTCAGACCTTATGCCCACCCAGGGACGCCATTTATGGTGTTGCACGCGACTAAAACACTCATGGTCACTCCAGGGGAGCCGGGCTGCACGAAATAACCACCCAAGAGACAGAAAGACCTTTTTCTTTGGGGGTGCTGTGATGGCTCCTCTGACCTTAAGGGTCCGAAGAAAGAAAGAGAGAGAGAGCACATGCTGACCCCTTTTATTGAGAAGAAGCCATTCAAATGAGACAAGGGGTCAGGTTTCAGGGGGCTGAGTCTATCTTCATGATGTCCGCTGTCAGCAGGTTGACTGACATCTAGGAAGGCCACACTCAAGGGTAGAGTAAGAGAAGGGGACACACAAAGGGTGTTTCCATGGAACATTGTATCCCACATAGGACAAGGGGTAATATTACAAAGGAACAGGTGAGCATAGCTCCACCCATGGGGCTGTAGGAAGGCATGCCCATGCACCAAAACACAGTTGCTCCCACCCTAAAGATCGGGGATATCATTTGGGTTACCTAGGCAACCAGATCACAGAGGCCTCCCACACCGGTCCTCACTTTAGCTGATTGTGCTGTAATGCCCAGAGCATCACAGAGAAACATTTCAATGCAGATTTAAAACTTTTTTTTAATTATCAAGGGATATTTTATTTTATTTTATTTATGTGTGGTGCTGAGGATGGAACCCAGGACCTCACACATGCCAGGCAAGGGTTCTACCACTGAGCCACAACCCCAGCCCTCAATTCAGATTTTGAAGACTGGCTCAGCTAATGCCAAAGTGTTCCTGTTCAGCTTGTGCTACAGCCAGAGGTGCTGGGGACCAGCTACACACACTTGTCTTATGCGTTTGACAGCAAGGAATAATCCCATTCCCATAAGATTAAGCAGACACCGTGGGAGACTTATTCAAAGAACAGAGTACCTTTGTAGGACTAAAGGTTAGATAACATTGTCAGGCCATGTAAAGCCCTGGAACCAGCAGGAAGAAAGCCTTTGGGAAAAACAGAAACCACACCCCTCACCCTTCTAGGGCTGTCCTTTCCTCAGGCTGCCATGGGGTGCATGATCAGCACCCTTTCTTCTCTATGGGTCTCTTTCTTT